CTTAAAAAAAAAAAAAAAAAAAGGTACAAGAACTACTCCAAATTAGAGCAGTAACATTTACAAACCCAGCACCCTCCAGTTTGAATTAAAGGGAACTGTTCTTTGCTTTAAGGCAAATCAGCTTATTGGGGCTTTTTGCTTTTGTTAATTAACCTACACATATTTGCTCACTCACTTCCCTAAAAGGCTTGCCTAAGACAGGCGTTGATTAGAAAAGACCCATACCACACCTTATATTTGAATAAAAGATTTATTTTTCTCAGGAAAAACAGGAAGTTAGGGAAACGCTACATTTTACAACCCACATTTGTAGTTGGTCCTTACCTTTCCTGGCACAGCTGTCAAAAAGCACTAGCTGTTTAACCAGAACCAAGGTGTTTACTCCCACAGAACATACATGGACACCAGAGGACTGCATGTTTTTCCCTGAGAGAAGCGTAAGACAAACAGAAGTCGCTGAGAGCCATCTTTCTAAGCAGCCCCTCCCTTTCCATTCTGGAGAAATTTCCTGAACTATGCAGCTAGTCAGCACTTGGACCACGTGCCTCCACTCCCTACAAACCAACCACTGCCCCCCTTCCCCAACCACTTGGGCTCCGCAAGCCTAAAATATCAAGATCGTCATCTGTATTCCAATAGTCACACCTACTGAATTGGAAGTGAGGCCCCTAAACACCAGTCTATATCTATGCACTTATTTCCACAACTGGAAACGGGAAGACAGGCCTTTTAGTCATCTTAACCAGATCTTAAGATTAATTAAAACTACATAAAGTGCTTTTAGGTCCACAGAGATAGACATGATATAAATAAGTGGTTTATGAACAAGAACGATAAATACACAGGTAAAAATAGCTCTAGTGCGATGACTTTATGGCTCTGAGATGGGCAGGCAGGGTGATTCTCCCCCATTACATTCTTAGTCATTTTATTTATGTCTATTTTTATCTGGAGTCCACAGACTAAAGGTCAACCTCTGAGGCTGAAGCTTTCAGAATGACCCTGGTTCCATATAGAGGCTGGCTTTGGGTTTACCAGTAGCTTTTATGTAATTGAGGTTTAAGAGAGCCCACTTCTTTCAGTGAGTGAGCATATTCAAACCCGAAGGAAACTTCAGAAAGTCAGTAAAATGCAGTTCCCTCTTCTGAAAATTCCGAAGGGGACTTTTGAAACTTTTACCCCCAAAGGTAGGAAAAAGCAACGACTGATACAAAGTTACCAATCCAAGGAAAAGGGACTCTCTCCATTACTCAAGTATTACTGACACAACATCCTTGGTGTCAACCACTTCCCAAAAGGATAAAATTCTTGAAAAATGAAGATCTGCTGACTCTGGGGTGGGGGAGACGAGGGGTAGAGGTGGGGGGTGGGAGGGTCACAAGGGTCTTAGTGGCAGAATCTAAAAGGGCTAGTAAGAGAGTTCAGGGGTGGCGGGTGAAGATGTAGGAACTGATGTATCTGTAAAGGGAGCAGGAGCAGCAAATATTTCAAGGACAAGAAACAAAGTTTGATAAAACATCAAGTCTGAAATCCAAAAGAAATGCCAATGCAAAAATTTGAAACAAAGCTTGGGAATCATTAATAGAAATGAAACAATAAGTATCTGTTTTATTGACATACTAGTGGCTTAGACCTGTGTTTAACAAGCAAGCCTAATAATAGCACCATGTTCACTCTAGCCTGCTTTCCCAAGCCATTTTACAATTTTTTTAAGCAAACAAGGGATCAAATGTCTCTCATCCACCTGATGTGATCTTTTTATACACATAGCTAATAAGTCCCATATGGAACAGCTGAAAATCTTTTAGTAAAAGTTTTAAAGATGAGCTCATGAACTCAGTTTAAATCTCACCATTTAAATGAGCTCAAATGGAAGGAACTCAAATGAGTAGTTACCCAATCAGAGCCCATTATTTGTAAACCAGCCCCCCAGGCCCAAACCTTAAGACTCCACTTTGACTCAATTATTGAAAACCTACATATAAGAAAGTGAAAAGGATTCCAGGTCTTCAGAGATAAATCTAGGGAGTAATTCAAAAAACCAGGTATGAAAATTAAAGCCTGCATAGTCGTGAATCAGATTTGTTCCACTAGAACCAAGTTGAATATAATTAACTCAATTGCTTCTGAATATACTCTAGAACTGACTGGGACAAGGTTTAGAATAGAAAAGCTCTAAGAAATAGGTCCCTAGCTGCAGACTGCAAATTTCAAAAGGGTTATGAAAAAAACTAATGCGAATTTGAAACTGTTCTTTTTATGCTTCAAAGAAATACTTTCTGTAAAAATATATACAATTTTTACAGACAAATACATTTACAAGTTTTCTTAAAAACTGAGGGTATTACATATTTGTAACTAATTATTGAGCCTTAAGTCAAGTATCCTTGGCCATTACTAGGTTAATACACTAACAATCATCAAACCGAGCCAAAGTAGGACAGGTATAGATAGAAGTCCTGAACACCTGGACTTTCTATTCTTCAAGAAATATACTTGGGAAAGCTATTAACAGAGGAAAAGCTTCCCTTCTTCACACACTGTTGTACAGTACTGAGGCTTCTAGTCATAGTTTACTTGTAGCTTAAAATCCATTTCACGTTCACTGACACTGTTAGTGCTTTTAACACTACAGAAAATTAGTGAATTTGGTGTGCATATTTAGTGAAATCTATGACTAGCCTGGCTACTGGCCACTCTCCTGTTCTATACAAGGAAATTAAGTCTTTCCACCCTACCATCTTCACTAAATCTAAAAGTCTTTCTCCGCGGTCTCCCAAAGTCTGCTTGTTGTTGCTGAAACCAAACTGCTTCTTCAGACTCTTCAAGGGGGGCCACTTTTCCCTTGTATTTATTCCTGATGGCCATAATCCTCTTGCCACTTGCTTGTCTGGCTAGGTTGCTAGAGTGGAACTCTTGCAGGTTACGGCCTGGTCAGCTGGAAGTCCAACTTCACAAATACATTTGATTTCACAGATGTATGTGGTTTTGGTGGCTAGAGGGTTAAAAGTCAACTATTGCACTTAACAAGGCTATCTTATTAGATATGCCAAACCAGCTCCTACTCCAGCAACACCTGCAAAAGCCAGCAGCACATTTCTGATGCCGCCTTCTAGGTCCTCTACATGGAAGAACTCCACAAACCCATCCTAGAAAACAAAAAAGAAAAGCACATTTTCAAGCATGGGTTTCTGCTACCTTAAAAATACTATATACATAGAAAAGATTAATTAAAATAGCTAAGATCGCCCCAAAACAAGGATGGACCAATTATTATTCACCCCTGGGCTGCACTTAAAAAAAAAAAAAAGTTCCAGCCAGCAGGTGGCGTGGTGGTCAAGGCACTGGACTTTCACATGGCCTGGTGCTTTCACAGGAGTCCCAGAACTGGGGGTTTGCTTTCTTACCTCCCCTCCCACCTCACTCTGGTGAGGGTGTGTGCCCTATACCAAAGTAAAAAATAATAGTTAAATAAATAATTCTTAAACACAAAGAAACCACCCCGCAGGTTACACCCCTTATTTGTTCAATTAAAAGGGAAGTGGGGGGGTGTCTTAGGAATGTATTTTAGCTGCCATTCTCAGTGGCTTTTCTTCATGGTCTGATTCCACAAGTACTGAAGAGAAGCTAATTGAATTAAAACAAAAATAGCCCACTGAAAACCCAGGATTGTTGATGCAATTCTAGATCACCAGACCACTGTTTCTATGGACCCACTACATAAATCAACATCGAGCAATCAGAGGTCCATAAATTAGAGCCTGGAAACTGAGTCGTGCGTCATAAAAGCCCTTAGATAGCCCCACCTTCTCTAGAAAACCCTTCGATCCCTTTCCACTCCAAGGCCCCCTTGAACCTTAATGCAAACTTACCCAGCCTCTTTGTTTGACTAGCCAGTCTCGTTTCGTCCTTACGAGAATATCTGTGATACTTTCGGCTAATGGTTCGATGCAGCTTTCTTGGTTTATGCTCTTCAAGTGTTTGGCCACAAAGGCACCAAAAGAAATTAGAGTCACAATCCTGCCCCAGTTTGTTACGCCGTCACTGAAAACATGGACCATCACTCGAGACAAAGATTTGACATCGTCTTCGTTTTTGATGTCCAGTTTCCGAAGCATGCCTGAGGAAGAAAAGCATGCGGGTCCTCACGGCCGCCTTTGTCTGCGCCGGGGCACGATTCGCCAGCCCACCCACGGCGAGGGAAGTCGCTAGCTGGGCTCTATAGAACTTAGGCCGACCCCACTCGAACACTGACATCCCACCCTTTCCGGTCTTAGAACAGAGCTGCCATTTCCAGAAGAATCAATATGGGCGGAAACAATGACTCACGGCCAGAATATTCTGGTTACAGAAACTGGACGAGCCTCGTTTCGAGACCGACTCGTCCGGGTTTCCCCCCAGGCTGGGCGGCGGGCCCAGGGCGCCGGGGCAGGGAGCGGCTCCCGAGGCCGCGCGGCCGCTTACCTTGGAAGGCGGTCTCGTGGTTGCGCTGCACGCCGTCCCCGACCCGCCGGAGCGTCTCCAGTGCCTTCCTGCTGGCGGCCCCCGACGCACCCAGGGGCTTGGCGTCCTTGGCGCCGGTCGCCTGCTCCCGGAGGTATCGAGAGATAATCTCCAGCGACTGCCTGTACAGCTCGTCCTCCTCCTCCTCCGCGGGGGGCGGCGTCGAGGGCAGCGACCCGTCGGTGCTGGCGCCATCGCTGGCCGCCCCGACCAAGTCCAGCAGGGGCAGCACGGCTGGCCGCTTCCCGAGGGGCTCGGGCTCGTACCCGTCCAGCTCCTCTTCGGGGGACATGATGGCGTCGGCGGCCGGGGCCTCCATCTCCTCAGGCGACAACGCGCGGAGGGTGGGCGCGAAGAACCGGAGCCTTGCGGGGGTCGCGGTGACGTCGGGCACCTCAGCGCCAATAGGCGCGGGCCGCGCGACCCTCGCGCCGGGTGGGGGGGCGGCGGGGGGCCCCCCGCCGCCGTTTCCGCCAATCACCGCGCCGGCTTCCCCTCCGCCTACCTCCCGCCGGGCCCCGGCCTCCTTCTCCGAAGCCAAAAGCCGCCCTCCCGGCGGGGTGGCGCCGCTGCTGCCGGCTCCCAGCCCGGCGCCGCCGCAGTACAGGTTCAGCCCGATGACCGCGTTCCTCTTGAGCCCAAACATCGCCGCCACCTGGCTGAGAAAGATGGGGAGGCTCCGACTGTCCCTTGAAGGAAGCGGAAGTAACAGTGAGGGCTTTGCTCCCGGATCACCGTTTTAGGGCCAGTCCCTCTGGGTGGCGTCAGCTAACTTCACCAAAAAGGGGCGGAAGCTTCCGAGCTGCGCACGGCACCTACCGGCCGGCCAGCCGGGGCGGGGCCGGGGCGAGGCGGGGCC